CCCCCCCCCCACAAAGTTACCCACTGATGACAGCATCATTCTTCCACTACCGCGTCAGGTGACGTGGTAGCTGGAGTCTTTGCCCTTTTTACAGACAGAAAGAAAATTCTCCAAAAATTCAGGTAGCTCCGACCTCCGAACTCCTGATGGAGTCTAGGAAAGAGAAGCTGCATTGTCTCTTTACCCTGCTTTTGCTGTGTGTGCAAATCATTCCACTAAGAGAGGAAACCCTACTTTCCATAGCTGGGAGAGTCTGGGTTACTATTATGTTATTTTTTTTTACAAGATTGAAAAAATATAGAATTAAAAAAGAATTTAACACACGCGTGGGGGCTGTTTGCTCGCTCTGACGGAGGGCTCCTTCTCATTTCTCCGCGTCTTCGCATTCGCCTTTGGGCGTCTCCGCCGGACTGCGGCTTTCCTGCGACTCTGAAGCCGGTCGCAGCTTCTTGGTGGGCGGGGAGGCATCTTCCGCGACCTCAGCCGGAGACGCCGCTCTGGTCTCCTCCGCCTTCACCTCGGGGAAAGCATGGTCTGGATAGAGAACCTTCAGCTGCTCCTCGAAGTACTTCTCCAGGTTCACACCGGCGGCGGCCACTTCTGTGTCTGCCTGTGAGGTGGGAACAAAGAAAAAAAAATCAAGAATAATCTCAGTTTATATCACCATTATATCTTTACCATCTGTCAATCACATCTTGAAGCAGGAGTCTCAAAATAACAGCCTGGGGGCCAGATCTAAGACGGTTCTATCTGGCCTATGACATAATTATTAAATCATTATTAAATCTGGGCCACTGAATGATCGTTTTCCGCAGAGAATAAGGAAAGACACAACATCATTCTGCTAAATCGGCTAATCGGGTTCAGTAATTCCCCCTGGTCGACATTTTTTTCCTCACTTTTTCTTTTTTGCTGAGGAGGGGAGGGGAGGAAGAAAAAAAAAAAAAACTCGACTGGCCATCTTTAGCTAAAGCCCCCCCCCCTCTGGCCGAGGGTCCCCAGGTCATTTGAGTTTGAGACCCCTGCCTTTAAGCCAGTTTTCACATAAATGTAACTAAGGACATGCCAAGCTTTTTGGAACACGTCCCTTTAGTTCCAGCTCGATTTGGGGGGTTGCGTGGGGGAGAACCTCATTGAACCGGGCGCAGTTCCGGAAGATGAGCCGCACATCCGCCACAAACTCATCCGGTCTCTGATACTGCGCATTATCCTTGGATTCAAGTTTCCTTTTCACAATGGACAGGTCCATGGGAGTCTTAATAACTTCATAATACTCTGGAACCATCTGCAAAGAGAAATCATTACTGCTGGATAACTTCAGGGAACAAAGGCGGGTTCACAAAACGTGTTATAAATACGTAAATATTTCAGTGGAAGGTTGTACCACAAGGCAAACGAGATTTGGATGTTCAATGTACCAAAGACATAAGGCACCCAGGAACCCTCCCCATTTTGCCATCCTGAGTATTTTTTTCTGTCTTTTGATTCCTTAAAAATTTTGGGTAATCAGTGTAGAGTGATCAGTGGGAGAAATCGCTGTGCTGTCTGGCTGACAGCCTGGTCTAGTCAGAGAGGAAAAGCCACTCACTGATGGAGAGACAGGTTCCTGGAAGTCGGCGCTCAGCTCGTTGCAGTAAAGGCGCAGTAAGAGCCGCTCGCATTTCTGTCCACGGAGAGAAGGAACACAGACAGGCTCAGAGCAGTCTTAGGAAAACTGATGACCGAAGACCAAACTAATGCTCGATCATACCAGTATGTACCTCCATCATTTATTCAGCATTCGTTTCATGACACGTTTAGTGTCCTTTGTGTTCTGCCTAGTTCCTGTATCCCTATTGGCTGATTCTTCTACTGTAGAGTGATCCGACAGTCCTTTGGAGACGCTTGACAATATCTCATTGTATAAAGCACATATAGTCACTAAATCACGATAATCTTGTATACCCACTTTTTGACAATAGGGACTTGGAATGCACCCATTGTCATCAGTGTTTGATATCTAATTGACCAATGAAAAGATGTTACATTAAGTCATCTATTTAACTAGCTTCTCCACTGAATGTCAGAAGTGTCCATCAAGATAAGAAAACCACGCAGCCTGCATCCGCGGACAAAAATCCATGCAATTCTATTTAAAACATTTAAGCGTTCACTGACGGCTGTGCAGAGAGGTTTCTATTTGTGGTGCTAAGGGCGTCTCATTATGTCGCTTCATGTTTATTCGGTAAAGCAGTTTCTGAGAAAATGTGTTTTTTCACACTCCCAAAATAATGGATTTTTTGGGGATGGACATTTTTCACCAGACAGTGCCAGTTTGTTCTTTAGAACACATGCCCCTTCGCCCTTGAACCCTTCTAGCTATGCCGCCACACTCATACAGGTTCTGACTGATCTGCCTGCACCCAGATCGCATCAAGCTGACGGCAGTAGACAAAACACAGGTTGGCAGCACGTTGCCACACGGGGTTAATAAACCCCTAGGCTGCCTTTGCCTTGGGACTGTGTCACTGCCAACAGATCTCTGCTTTAAACTCTCACCACAGCAAGGGAAATGTGTAAAAAAAAACGCCAGGAACCGCAAAAATGCCTGTCTGGGATTAGAATTTTTATAGGTGGCCCCGGAGTGCAGGGAAGTGCGTACCCGTTTGTCCACAGGTGAAAACTCTTTGGAATCGGGATCCTCCTTCAGAGCTTTGGGCCCTTCAGTTTTGTCACAGTCATATTCCATTTCCGGCGAGTTCAGCTCGCGGCAAAATGAACAGAACCATTCACCACTGGGGGAAAAAAGCAGAAAATACAGCTAAAATGTGCCAGGTTCCTAAATGCAGCAATGCATTTGAAAACGGACCTTTATATTTGACATTTGCTTTTTAATCCTAACATAGGGACTTTCTCATTATGTGTGCTTGACCATACTTGTGTACCCGATTTACGTCATCTTCCATTGCCAAAGACCAGTTCCAATACGCTCGAAGAGAAGGGCAGCGTGTGGCTCAGCAGGCTAAGCCTCTGTGTTCAACCCTGACCTCCCCACATCTGCAGGTACTTGAGCAAGGCCTTCTCAGCCAGCTTGCTCTGACCTACAGAGAGCAAGTGGGGGGGAGGCATAAAGAGAATTTCCCCACAGGGCCTGCTTATCCTTTATAATGATAATAAGAATAATAATAATAAGTACAAAAGATGGTAAAAGTCCCCAGAGGTCACTCTTGCCTCAAATATCATCGGTTGCATCATCGCCAAATGAGATCAATCCCATGATTCATTGCAACCCAAGTTCGTTCTTGGGAGGCAAGTTAGCAAGACCATTCTTGCCAAGACCACAAGTACGATCTGTGTTCTGGGTATGGAGGGACACCCATAGACACTTCCTGTGCCCTCCGACTCCCCGACCTCCGTCCCTGCCTACCTGGGAGAGCCGAGCAGCTTGGGGATGTGGCAGGTGAGGTGGAAGACCTTGGGACACTTGTCACAGCAGAGCAACTCGCCCCCGTTCTGGCACACGGCACACCAGTCCTCGTTGGGGTCCTCGTCAGGCCCCGGGGCCTCCCTGGCAGGGGGTTCGGCCGCTGCGGGGGGGTCCTGTGTGGGTGCTGGGGTCCGGTCCTCTGTGCTGTCAGGGAGACTGGCCCTCACGCTGGACTGGACCTGAGACACACACACACACACACACACACACACACACACACACACACACACAGAGTTGACGTTGAAAGACTGCTTATCCTTTAAAGCTTCGGTCAATCTGAGTCTGCCTTTTAAAAAATATCAGCAACACAACCAGTAATATTTTTTGCCCATCAAATTTTCCCATCAAAATTTACTTAGTAAATCACATTTTAGCAAACAGATTCCTGACAAAACGGCAAATTAAGAGGACGGGGGGCAAAAAAAACCCACGAAAATGATTTCCTGACCCCCTTAAAGGGACGGTGATCATCTGGCCCAAACCCAGGCACGGCGCCTTACGAAATGGACGTCGTCATCATCCTCGGGCTCATCCTTGATCACGATAATGGGGCCGGGGGACGAGCGGCGTCTTCGTTTAGGCGCCGAGCTCTGGGACGCGCTCGCCTGGGCTTCCGGTGGCTTCCACACCGAAGAGCTGCAAAGCAGGACACCGAGTGGCGATGAGAGCAGGAAACAGCAGCGAAAACGGCGGCATCAGACAGAAGACCACGGCACTGACCTCGTCTTCGGCTCCGCTGAGCTGTTGGCGGGCAGAGGGGAGATGTGTCGACCTTGAGCTGGGGGGGGGGGGGCAGCGTCAGAAAGCAGTTATTTTGTGGTTTATGGGTTCAACTCACTCATTAACTCAGCCAGAACATGGAAAATGGAAGCTAATATCTATCGTTAAGGCGATTCCGGGAAGTCCTCACCGTTCCTGTATGGCGGAGAGGCTGGCAAGCTTTGCGAGAAGTTGGGCCTCATCATCGAGTACGAGCCGCTTTCATCGTTCTTCTTGTTCAGGTACGCCGACTCCATCATGTTCAGCTGGGTAATCATGGAGGTAAGGTCACACATTGGTCACACAGCTCAGACCCTGATACCTCTTAGCCCTCCTCAGCTATCTGTACGTCACCCTCTGGGGTCGACGGTGTCGTCGGCGATGCCGCGTATCTTTCTTGTGCATAGTTCATAACTCGCTGAAATCTTATTATAGACATGAAAAAAAAATGCTGACTAAATCCATAATCTGTCTTCTTTCAAAACGTCTATTGTGGGAAGTATTAAAGTTTTTAAAATTAAAATCGGCAAAAAATGTCACCTTTCTTTGTTTTACCTGCATCGGGGGCGTGTAGAACCGCTCTCACCCGAAGATCGCTATTTGTATTCTAAATAGCTGCATTAGCGCATATTCAAATGGCATTCGCATGGTAATTTGATGAACAACGCAACGGTGAAACGCGATCCAGATACATCCCCATCAGCGCCATAAAGGGGGGGGGGGACGTGGCCAGGTGACAATGGCTCATTCATACACGAGAGCTCCTACATATTCAATGGAAGGAGGCCAGAAATAGTGACATGAGTTAGCTTTTTCTAATTCTAACTAGATATTGCAACTATACCATTTAGTCATCTTCAGGTAGCCAAGACTTTGGTGATCAGATATCTGGGATCAAAACAAACTTCCACCTTTGCTTACTATGTACTTTTATAATGTTTCTGCAAGTGTTCCAAACTGTATTTTGCAGTGTCTAATTTGATGTCAAATTATAAACTTCGCATAAATCTGACATATTTACAAAGTACACTAAGATTAAGACGAGTTTAATGCCAAAACAAATACAGTCGTCCCTCGTTTATTGTGGTTAATCAGACCAGACTCTACCGCGATAAGTGAATTTCCGGGAAGTAGGATTCTTTATTTATAAATCGAATATTTTTGTAGTTAGAGCATAGAAAACCTGTTTACGACCTTCTAAATATGGTTTTTAACATTATTAGAGGCCTCTTGACATGAAATAACACCCTTTAGTCACCATTACACTCATATTACCCAATATATTAGACAAAATAAGAGAAAATATGACATTAGACGTTACAAATATCATTTTATTATTGTTGTACATTTAACTACGCACACACACAGTTCTTACACACAACCACTAACCTATGAAAATCCATGAAAAGTCATCCTAGATAAAAGTTCCATGAAAAACATAATTCTTTCACTGTATTATAAATACGATTCGCAAACACTTACAAGAGCAAAGATGCTTCTGATGTGTAGCGATGTATCATTTTCACTGTCTCGGTCAGCTTTTTAACGAATAAACCGTGGCGACGGGCGGACCGAGGCATCGCGGGAGCAGAGACACGGAGACTCGCTTGCCGGGGAAACACGCTCTTTATTAGTAGTCCTTACAAAGACCACAGCAGGCACCGAGCACCGAAAAACCCATTACACATAAGAAACACAAGGTTGTTAGACGCCGAACTGTAAGACACATACATGGTGGGGGATTTACGGAAGCTAATTACGCACGAGGATAGACCGGGTACACACAAGACACAGGTAAACACACACGCAACAATAAGAAATTAACCATTAAACAATAAGAGCAACAACAGAAGGGCTATTTACAACTGCACGCGGGGCATGCTGGGACATGCGCCTCGCCAGTGCTACAATACAAAAAACCACGATTACAGTGAAAGTCAAAGCGCAAAGTAGTGAGGGACGACTGTATATAAGAAATAATTTATTTTCCATGAATTAAGTTTATGATACTGAATGAAATGTGTGACCATGCCCCAGTCAGTGAAAGTGTGTTCCCTACCCCTAGACCCCAGAGAGTTACGGCTGTCTGGTTGTCCATTTTGTTCCCTTTTCATGTGACCGTAAGGTTGTCAGATCAAGTCCCCGGAGTGGATTTTTGTTCTTTTTCTCCGATTATAAAAAACCTTTTATGAACAAGTTCTTAAGTCAGTAGCTCTGAACATAGTCCTTAAACTAGCAGTAGCCTTGCACTTAAGGACGTGGACGTTCGTACATCCAGTCCCCTAAGAGGACTCTTCTCTCCAAATCAGCCAACCTTTTCTGGCAAGGAGAGCACCGGGTTAGGAAGCAGTACTTAAGCCAATCAGAAGCTGGCCAGCTGACCAATCACTCACCTGCTGCAGGGAATGCTGGGCGGTGTGAGGGATGCCGCTGGACAGCGGGGCATTCTGGGAGTACCGGGGCACACTGGGAAAGATGTCCATCGGCTTGGAGCTGCTCACCAGACCTCGCAGGGTCTGGACAGCAGAGACAGGAAGCACCTTAGAGCAAATTCACTTGTTTGAGAAACGCAGCTCACTTCACTTTCAGGGATAAAAATATGGTCACATGGTCACAAGTGGTTGGTTTATTGAAATGATTTACAAATGTTTTGGACATGAGAGATTTTATATGGATATATTACATAAAAAACATAATATCTTACAAATCTTTCACTTGCCATTACAAAACTGCTAATTTCCTCTCTGCAAATACACTAAGGATTTATTTTACACTTTTATTTAGAAGGTAATTTTAACCGCAGCAAAATGCATATAATGCAGGGGAAACATTCCAACAGCAGCTTGCTGACAAAGCAAGGCCACCGTGCACCCAGATGGGGGATCTGTCAGCTAAAATGGGGACGGTGTCATTCACAGAGACTGCTGTCACTCGGAGAGACCCATCGGCACCCACCTGAGAGCTGAAGCCTTGGTTCTGCAGGGAGGCGGTGGGGCTCTGAGGGTTCGGATGAGGGATGGCGAAACGACGGCCCGGCTGAGACATGGAGGACAGGCCTTGGGACGGGGAGCCGCCCTGCAGGGGCCGGGGAGGGGGTGGCGGCGGGGGGGGCGGCCGCGGCAGACGCATGTTGTGGTACCAGGTCCAGTGAGAGGGCGGCGGGGGCTGGCGGCTGGGCTGCTGGGCCAGCTTCTCCACCTGCATCTGGAGCTGGGCCAGCGTGCTGTGGGTGGCCAGCTGCTGCTGGGCCTGCTGCGAGGGCCCCACAGGGAAGCCGTTGGGGGATCCGTCGGGCCTGTGGCCCGGCTGGCTCAGCTGGTAGGGGAGGCCCTGGATCCCGGGCTGCTGGCGGCCTGGGGCACTTTCCACCACCAGGGAGCCTGTGAGGGAACAACACCCAGGAAGCAGATTTCAGCGAGAAGCTACACCGCTCGGGGCGACCGCTGGCCTAGAAAACCGGGAGCGCAGCGAGTGAGCGCCTTCTCCGGAGGAACGGCAGAGAGCGCATGTAATTATGGTGCAATAAAACAGGAGAAGCACTTCGACACACTGAAAGGCACCATTCTGCTAAAAACTGCACTTATCTTTCCTTCTTGTAGATATTTTCTCCCACTTCCTGAAACAGAATTATCATTCTGTTTGTTATTTCAATTCTTGATATTCTACCACTGTATTATTTAATTATTGCAAGGCTGTCCCTGAAGTTACAGCATGACGAGTCTTATTTATCATACAGTGAAAGAATTATGTTGGTCATAAACGACAAAGGCAGCCTATTCGTTTGTTACTGTAATAGCAGTTTAACTTGTTGAAGTATGTTCAACTCTTCAAAGTGTCACGCAACAAACAGTTAAGTCACTGTGTGACAACTATCCTAATTTTCAAGTAAAGCCGCACCAGTTACAAGACACTTCTTGTCTGTGCACCTCGGTATATTACAATGACAATAAATTAGAATCAAAATGGGTAATCCCTAGACAAACAAAAACAACAGACGACATTCCTCAAGCATTCACCTCCAATTCTGATTGGCTCTGACATGCGTCACTCATCCTATCTAGCTTAAGGCGGTTCTCCAGATGACTCACAGTCACAACTGAATAGTGGAGGGTTGACATCTATGTGTTCAGCATTCCAAGTTCTATGGGTGACTAACGAGTCAGAGCACGGAAGAATGCTGGCCGGCCACGGATGGGTGTTGCCCGAAAAGACACGCCTCCTTACCCAGATCCACATTCGAGGCCCAGAATCCTGAGCGGCACTGGAAACGCACGGTGCTCTGAGGTACGAACGAAGTATTGCATTTGGCCCGCAGGAGATTTTGGATTTGAAACAGGATCTAGAACAGAATGAATATGATCAGTTTTACTGGAAGTTGCTAATGCAGTTTAGCATGCAGAGGATCATTGTTTTACAGAAGAGTTGCCCATTGAAAGAGTGTCCATTTCAAATTTTGCACATTTTAAACCATTTTTTCCCTCTACGGAAAATTTTATTAGCAAAAATCAGAGATGTCCCAATTCACTTTTTTGGTACCCTGATTCGATCCATTCAATATTTATCTCTGCCGATTCCAAGCTGATCATTTAATAAATATGTAAATACACTGGTACATACTCATACAGTAGGCGTTGGTGAATTCCTCATCTGAGTAAGCCTCGCCATTTTGCAGTATTCTCCCTTACGATGTTTCCGTGTCTGATTAAATTCACTGTATTAAATGACGACCTGTCACAACCTCCTCTCGCAATTATGGAATTGCAAACATCTTAGGTAGCTGTCGGGCTACTTTGAGTTTCCAATTTAAAAGAATTTCCACAGGACTGACATCCCGATAGTTTCGAGCCGTGTGCCTCAGGCTTAGTGCAGCGTGTGACAAAATCTTACAATCTGTGCAACTGACATAAATTAGGCGGACCCGGGAAATTAAATCGATTGACCTTGGATCAAGCTATGGTGGTGGATACTGATCAATTAAAAAATGCCTGGATCGGCCCCGATTCCGATCACTTCTACTGGCTCAGGACATGACTGGCAAAAATAGTGTAATGCTTTAACAAACACATATTTAGCATAATTTAAATAGTGAATTTCAACCTAGCATAAAATGCAAACCTAGAGATACTAAACATCACACTATACAGCTGTGGAAAAAAAATGATACCAACATATTTTTAAACAAATCTGCATTTTTAAATTCTGGTTTAATCCTGGTTCTGGTGGCAGAAGCTACACGGAGCAGCAGGCTGCTTCCAGGTTCAAAGGTTCTAAGACAGCAGTACACAAGAACATGGTGAAGCAGGAGACACTGGGAACGACCAGAAACCAGCCAGGCAGAGGGCGGAAGCCACAGTCTAATGCCAGAGATGACTGTCAACTTATCTGACAGTTTCTCATGAATCGGAGGATGACATCAAGTGACCTTCTAAAGGAATAGGAAACATTAAGTGCAGGTGTGAAGTGCACTCCTAGGACAGATTGTATCAGGCTCACAGAAGCAGGACTGAGGTCCCATAAAGCAAGGAAGGAGCCCTTCATTAATGAGAAACAGGGAAGAACCAGGCTGCAGTTCGCAAAAAATATATATATTATTCACAGACAAACACCAGTAAATTGAGAAAAGAATGAAACAAAAAATCGTGCAGTGGTCTCTTAATTTTTTCCACAGCTGTATTTCAATCCACACTTCTTAATACGAAGAGAGCAATAAGCCACTCCCGCCACTCCCCCCGAGGCCTCACCAGCCGCTTGCAGTACAGAAGGGCTGTTCCACTGTGGCTGGCGGTTGCCCACTTGGTGAAGTTGATCACATGATCGAGGTGCCGGGACAGGAAGCCAATATCTTCCTGCTGCTTCCTGAGGCCGCTCTCGTGGTCCTTCATCAGGGCCTGGGGGGGGGGTAAGCACAGCAAAGGAGATGACCACACCCACAATAACAGTCTAAGGTATCATTTTTAAACTTCGAACAACAAATCTGGCCAGGATAGACACCTATACAAAAATGTGCCAAACACTCCATCCATCCAACTTCTGTAACTGCTTGCCGTGTTTCGGGGGGGTCTGGAGCCCCAGAGGCTACAGATGCACAAGGCAGGGAACAACCCAGGATGGGGCACCAACCCAGTGCAAGACACACTCACACACGATTCACTCACACATGGCACACCTATGGGCAATTTGGGAACTCCAATCAGCTTCAGTAGGCTTCTGGACTACGGGGGGAATAAGGGCACCAGGAGGAAACCACACCATGACACGGGGAGAACATACAAACTCCACACACACATGGAGCCATGGTGGAGACTCGAACCCTGGCCCCAGAGGTGTGAGGCAACAGTGCTAACCACTGCACCGGCCCTTGTGCCAGAAACTAAATGACTAATTACTTCATAACAGTTTAAGGAACATTCATAACGCAGTAAAATATTAATGAGAAAAATCTCAACAAACCTCAAGCTGATTAACCAAGATCTTCCCCTTTCTATTGATCTCTATAATTAAGGTACATATGGACTTCTTGATTTCATTGTGAACAGACTTTCGGTTCTCATCGACCTTCAAGAGTCTGAGGAAGAAAATTAAATTCATAAAGAATAAGTATGGCGTCGTTACATTTACCATCAAACACATGGGACACACATATTATGGTGACCTACAAATCAAAGATTCACACACCAGAGCAAAATGGATGCGTACCCATTGTTAATGGAATTGGAGACCTCCTCGATGGCCTTCTTCTTCTCCTGTAACTGAAGAGTCATATTCTCCATGTAGTCCCTGTGGTTCCTATAAGCATCCTCGAGGAATTGGTAACTAGGGGAAAAAAGCAGAGAAGTCCAGGAACCTCTGGGACAATGTTCCTGCTTGATATATGACGGAATTTAACACAGCCATTAAATGTAGCCATGCCCTAGAAATGCCAAAGCGACATTAACAAAAGAAAATCCTGGATTACGAATATATTGCATCATAATGTTACAATGCAATGAGCCAATCAGAGACTACACTACAAATGAACATCAAGGAAATTGCTGTGCATATATAAGACAACAAAAAGCTTATTCCACTAGTCAAATGCCATTCAAATCACAATAATGGTGCAAAATGAATTAAGGAATAGTTTGTGTATAATCGTCGACATCTACGCCCTCGATGAGAGACGAGTCGGGGTCTTTACTTGTGATCCTTGTGCTTCAGCAGCTGGCAGTCGCGACAGGTCAGGCGGTCGCACGTCTCACAGAAGAGCTTCAGCGGCTCCTGCTTGTGCACGTCGCAGAAGACCGGCTTCTGGGAGGACACGCACGCGGCCTCTGCCAAACGAGAGCGCGCCGGTTCGCTAAGCAGTTCGCGTTCCGCCAAACGGACCAGACCCCCCGGGCCCCGACGGTACCTGGAGACACCTCCTCCTTCTGTCGGATGGTGTGATCTTTGGTGAACTTCACCCTTTGGTGTGCGCCGATGCAGGTGACGCAGAGGAACTCCACGCACTCCACGCAGAAGCCCGTGGCCTCCGCATTGTCAGTGCAGCTCATGCACAGCTATGGGAAAGAAAGCGGGAAAAATATGGCCGTTGTCATGGCAAACCGGGGGGGCCAAACGACAGCAGCAGGTGTTAGCCAAATACTCATCAGCTACTACGCACTTACTCTTCATCGGAAACACAATAATACAGGTGTGCCATGACTACCATTAAACATTTACATGATTGTTAATTAAAAGTCCCAACCTGACTGGTCCTCTCCACTGTACTGCTGGGAACCTCCATGGAGTCCTTCACGAAGAAGTTCTCCATGACGTCCACCTCCATGCATTCCTGCCGGCACACTGGGCAACGAATCACGTTGACTGGGAAGAGGAGGCACCATCCAATTAGGAAGGCGACCCTCACGCACAAGTCGCACCACTAACACAGAAACACCTCTGGAAATGTACAATTTCCAAACAAAAATAGGGCACAGGTCACAAAACAGGGTAGTAGCAGGGGCAAGGAGCCAAGGTCTCCTCTTACCACCAACTGCAACGCACAAGGACTGAAGTGACCAGCTTAAATATTATAAAGAGTTATCAATTTTTAAACTGATCTCCATGATCAAAGAATAAAATTTTAACACTGGCATTAATTATTTAAACAGTTCAGGTATTACAAATCAGGATACAGCTGAAACTGTAAGGTTTATAAAGATGCGGAGGGACCTGATATTTCAGGTGAACTCCCGAGGGGAGACGTAACCAAAAGAACCAAATGGAAATACTTTGACTGGTTTTACTGGTGTATCCTGGTACGGGGGGATGTCACTGTCGTTGCCTCTTATCCGATGCTGATAATATGACGACATGCATTCAGACGGACGGACAAACAAACACGGCAATGACAAGCAGACATCTACCCCGTCGTGCCATCGATAAGGAGACGATGCCACGTAAAGAAATGGGAACAACGTGCGCTCGTGTCTTACGCGGATTCGCCGCGTTGTCGGCTTGTATCGGACCGCTCGTACTTTGATCCGGCATGACCAGACTCCTGGAGGGCGACGGCAGACACTTCTTGCAGAAAGAGTGGAGGCAGGGGAGCAGCTTGGGCTCCCGGCTGTGGAAACTGAGCGAGCACACGGCGCAGGTCTCCAGCAAGTTCACATGGCTCTGCTGCTTTGCGCTCTCCTCCAGCACCGGCATGCTCTCCGCCTCGTTCTCCACGATGATCACGGCGTCTTCCGATTCCGCTTTTTCTGCACTTTCGTCCATCTTTTTTTACTATGGGCGTGAATAAGCCAAATGTCACGGGTGCCGCGCTGCCAGATCGTGACGTCTATCTAATGCGAAAACCTGTATCAAAATTCAAAGTGACTCCGAAATACCCGCCTCCCTTTCCGTCTGTGCCACTGCGGGTTTGGCCACTGCTGCGATTTCACCTGAGGGTCAACGCGACTCTTTATCGCGCAGTGCACGGCGAGCAAAGCTTGCGGAGCATCGCTTGATCCGGGCTGCTAGCCGTAGGAAAGCGTCCGACTGTGAGTTCCCATGTAAATCCAAAACAAAGTGATGCGCAGCGGAAGGGAGAAGACCTGCCGAAGCGAACGTCTCATGCACTATTAAAAAAATAACCTAATTTTGGCCGAGGCTTCCAAAAAACGTGAAAACCCCCGTGGCATGTAAGCATTTAAATATACTCATGGTTTTACAAACGAGTCATCTATAGGCCGCTTGTGCCGAACAGTGGCGAGCACAGCGTTTAGATCCCCGAATTGCTCCGCGATAGCCACGGTATGGGTGCTGGGTGGGGACAAACTAGATCGGGACGACAGCTTCGCGTCTTCAGACGGGCCGTCCCTGGAGAACTGCGCCCATTACTGCCGGAGAATGAAACAGAAGCTTGGGTGCACTGAAGCACTGCTGTTATCGTTCGCATGAAATTCGACGACAGCATGTTTTATTTGAACATTTTTCCCATATCTTTTTTTTTTTGTCAAATGAACTGGATACACTGTTTCCCTATGGAAAAAGCTGTACAAGTCCACAAAGAACATAGTTTGGCAATATTACAATTTTTTTCTGGCTGGGAAAAAAATATATCATTCCTTAAAAGAAACGCCCTATTATGAATTCTTAGCCCGACATTCATCTCATGTGTCATTAAAATTAAATTCAGCAGTGAGCAGTTTCAGGGGCATCAGAAGCATTTTGATTGTGGGGGGACACACTGGCATAAAACTAATATTTTATGTTAAATGTGGGGGGGTCCAAACAAATAATTATGAAATGTGAGGGGGACTCGTCCCCCTCAGATTTAATGGTGGCGACGCCCATGAGCAGTTTACATTCTTCAGTTTCAGGATCAAGAGATTTGTGCAGTTATTGACTTTTCAATAGCGGTTACAAAATGCCACAATATACAGTCAGTGTCCACTTTATTAGGTACACCTGCTCAACTGCTCCTTGATGCAAATATCTAATCAGCCAACCATATGTCAGCAGCACAATGTATAAAATCATGCAGATACAGGTCAGGAGCTTCAGCTAATGTTCACATCAAACACCAGAATGGGGAAGAAAGTGACTTAGAATGTGGCATGTTGTTGGTGTCAGATAGGCCAGTATGAGTATTTCAGAAATTGCTGATCTACTGGGATTTTCACACACGACCATGTCTAGGGTTTACAGTGAGTAGGTCAAAAAAGAGGTCAGAGAAGAATGGCTAGATTGGTTCAAGCTGATAAAAATGCAACAGTAACTCAACCACTTCTTACAAACATGGTATGCAGAAGAGCCTCTCTGAACACAACACGTTGAGCCTTGAAGCAGATTGGCTACAGCAGCAGAAGACGACACCGGGTGCCACTCCTGTCAGCTACAAACAGGAAACTGAGGCTACAGTGGGCACGGGTTCATCAAAACTGGCCATGAAAGATTGAAAACATGTTGCCTGGTCAGATGAGTCTTAATATTTGCTGTGACATTCAGACGGTAAGGTCAGAATTTGGTGTAAACGACATGAAAGCATGGATCCATCCTGCCTTGTATCAACAATTTGGGCTACTGGTGGTGTGTTGCTGGGGGGGGGGGGGGGTATTTTCTTAGCACACTTTGAGCCCCTTAGTACTAATTAAACACACTTTAAATTCCACAGCTGACCTGAGTATTGTTGTTGGCCATGTCCATCTGTTTTTGACCACAATGTACCCAACTTCTAACGGCTACTTCCTGCAGAATAATGCAGCGTGTCACAAATCTCTTATGTCAAACTGCTTTCTTGAAAATAAGTTCACTATACTGAAATGGCCTCCAGTCACCAGGTCACAATCCAAGAGAGGACCTATGGGATGTGGTGGAATGGGAGATTTGCATCATGAATGTGCAGCCGACAAATCTGCAGCAACCACGTGATACTTTAATGTCAACATGGCCCAAAGTCTAGGAGGAATGTTTCAAAGACCTTGGTGAATCTACGACAAATTAAGGAAGTTCTAAAGACAAGAATAGATCCAACTTGGTGCTAGCAAGGAACATCTAATAAAGTGGCCAATGAGTGTATATTGGTAATGTCCAAGCAACAGACCACATGCTATAGTATGATTACACTGAAAACAGTATCAACGTTATAATCAGTGGTGACTGCTCTAAGACTACAAAGGAAGCTTCGCCTCCTGTCACAAAAAAAAAATGTCAAATATGTCCTGTCATATTTACATTGCTATTACAAAGAGAGTGCTGGAACGTGGAACGTGCCTGAAATTATACTTCAGGATCGGAGAGTTTCAAGTTCAGTCCCATATGGAGTTTTGGTGAAAAGTGAAGTCTTATAATTCTTTTGATTTTCATTTGACCATAGCCTACTGTAAATAAAAACATAAATATAGCGTTCTTGAGTTTACTCCTTGTTTCTGTAGTAAGGTTTGTTCATTAGCAGGTTAGCTAAAGTTTGTTAGTTTATTTCAAACTGGGTCGTGGGGGTATAGTCATCTTCCCCTGTTTGAAAGACCACGAGCCACCACTATAATGGAATCCTATTCTAACTGTTGTTGATGTAACTGAAATGATCTATCGGACATGAAATAATTATACTTAGTATTTGTATACTAACATTTATTTCATATACAACTGTATGCAAATGAATGACTGAATCGATTAAATTAGGCTTAAATATGAGAATAGGAGGAATGAGACACCACAATGATTCGGTGGAGCCTAGGGTCCTGGTTTTGTTTCTGAGTAATCAAAATAGCATGGTTAGGTTCATGTTTTTAAAAGCCACATCAAGGAGTTGGGTTACAGAGAACTAGTACATTTTAGAGAGAACTGTGAGCCGTCAAAAAGTCTCCTTATGCTGATATTTGTTTTTATTATTATTACGACTGAAAATTAAGTTTAACTTCTTTGTTTCATTTCTGTGAGACACTAGCAAAGACCAAAAATAGCGAGTCTGACGGGTAAAACGCGATCTGACACCTATGGGAAGTACAGCATAAACATGGTCCCCGAAGAGCATGGCTGAGAATCACTAAATAATTGCGCAAATGCAGTTTTTAAAATTCCCACTAGGGAACATGCCTTCAATTCAGGGGCGAACCAAAGTACTACGTTTATGTTAGATCCCAGCTACCAATTTCTGTATTGATGGTTTCCTTTCAGGCTTTTAACATTTCAGACTTTTAGCTCTTGGTCAAGTCATTACATAGGTACCTTTATGTTTTGTTATCCTTTATGTTCTAAGATATATTATTGTGTAATACTTATTTTGTAGCGATATAAATTATTACTTAAGCCGTATTTTTAAAAGCGGAGAGAAACCTCTTACAAAATAAAAGGGAAAATTACCATTACAGAGCAGTAAGTTTCTGTTCCTGTTGTTTATAAAGTAGAAACTACCGCACAAGCTACATAAAAGAAACCGGAAATAAACAGGCAAATAGCACATAAAACGTAAATCAGCAAACCTCCATTATTCCGGAAGGTAATACTTTGACCTTACTTATAACGTTGTTCTTTTTGATATCCATCCGCCGAATAGATTCATTCGATTAACTTTATAGTTCATTAAAGCGAACTCCAACATATTTGTCTATGTTTATTTTAATATAATAAACTGGGTGATTCCAATAATTTATGAAAATGTATCATTTTCCTTCGTCTCTTAGAAACAAAAAAGTGGAAGGATACAACTGTTGGTAAATAAGTGGTGATGCGGCCACAGTAAGAAAGGAAGACGATTTTTTTTTTCTAAATTACGTTGGTAGTTTATATTGACTAAATTATGAAATGATTTTGTCGTGAGGACATATGGCCGTTAACTGAAGATAAACAGAATTTCGAGGCATGCGTCGGAATACGCTGCTGTTTGAGAAGTTTCTATTTTCTTTTCCACCTGAGTGCTCAGCGCCGCGGCGGCGCTTCAGTGGCCGGGGCTGGATGTTCGTCCTGCCGTGCATCACCGGGGTAGACCTCGCTCACTGAAGATACAAACGGGCTGCAGTGGCGGATCCTTCACTAAACACTTCGATTATGCGAGTAACACTTCGCCTCGGACCAGATCGGATGCGTTCCCGCGATCTTCTTTTAATGAATGAGGATCATAGTCCCTTGTTTGCTCCCTTTAAAGATGAGGCGGATTGCCGGACTGGGGGATCGTGGCCGCCGCTCTAGGAGAAGTCCTGATAGCCGAGTTCACTTATCCCTGCTGCTTTCTTGAAAAAAATAAAACAAAACGGTTTAAGGCGATGGGATCAGGGATGACTGGATTACAAAGCATGGATTGTAAACAACGCACGATGCTGCTGGGCTGATTTTACGTTTGGTGGAATAAAACAATCATTGTCACAGATCTGCTTATTGTTTTATATGGTTGGCTTATTTTTTTGTTTTATAACTTAACCTTTTTTGGGGGGGCGCCTGATTTATCTGCTATCACAGCTGTTTGCCCGGCCGTAGCCTACGCGGGGAGTTGTGGGGTCGTCCCTGGTTTTAGGGCCTCTTGCCCGGGGAAGCGTCGACACCATGGATGCATAAACTGTTTAAATTGCGCCAAACTCCTTGTGTGGAGTTTTACAGTCAATCATTACTTGGAGTCCTTCAGCCCTGTCAAGAAAATAAAGAAACTCTCGACTACGAAACTTAAGAGACTTACAAGCATGCATTGTGTTTTCGATGGAAGGACATTCAGGACTCGGCTTTTTATTAGGACAGAAGAGTGAAAATGCGTGTACACACCTACAGGGGCAATCTGGGGAGTTACAAGTGTCAGGGCATGTCTGTCGTTTCATAAGCTAATTATGTACACTGGGGACACACGTTAGACCCGCGACCTTTTTAGTCGACTTTTATTATATTAAAGAACGAAGTCTGAACGAACATTTCAGCGAACCATCATGTCTGCCATCGCCGAATTTGTCCCCCCACCGGAGTGTCCTGTTTTCGAGCCCAGCTGGGAGGATTTTTCGGACCCACTGGGTTTTATAAACAAGATACGGCCCATTGCCGAGAAAACTGGCATCTGCAAAATCCGACCCCCCGAGGTAACCGGGTGCCTGGCTTAGGCTCCCCATGACCGCCTTCATCCCTCTGTTTTACAATCCATATGCCTATTTTTGCCAGTGTACATACACACACAGCGTCTTTTACCCGCTTTATATTTGTTTCGTATCTCCGAGCTCGTTATGCCAAGGCTGCTGTGGGGTCGCCCCCCCCGCGGCGCGTGGAGCTCCGGTGCCGATGCAGAAACTTCGGCTTCAGCTTCAGACATTTTTCCCGGCTGCTTGGGAAAAGCAGCTGCATTTTGTCTTTTTAAAGTAGGCCGGGGATCTTGCCACGCAGAGGAAAACTGCGACACTATGCTAAAATATATATTTAAACACATATATTGGCGCTTAAACCAGTTCAACTTAAGATCAAATTTATTAATAGATGATTAACATGATTTGGCCTTATTTTCCTCATTTTTAAAACGAAATCTCGTTATTACAGCTTATAAGTACAGAACAAATTCACTGTACGTCTTAATTTTATTATACCTTCCACAACCTACGAGTTGTTACTAAAGACCAAAAAAGTCTGCTGGTTGTTTGCTATGAGTAAAATGCTGAGGTATGTAGGAGGTAATCTGTCACTAATGAAACTTTAACATCCTACTCGAAACTGCAGGCCTGGTCACATGACGTTAGACGTGGGGAATCTCGGAATATGGCACATGTAATTTCTAAACTTTTATTTGCACTTCAGCAGAAGCGGCATATTACTATAATGTTTTTGCTCCTCCCAGGGGGGATTCCCAGGCACCATACCTTGTAATTGCCATTATATTTTATTTTTTATATTTTGTCCGTCTTATAGGAAATAACTTGCTTACATTCTGTACATTATTAATTTTCTCTATGGTTTTGACTTAGGTTTTATGTGGCTGCTTGTCCAAGTTTTAGATGTTCTGAAACACAATGCAAATAGATGCTTTCTGCACGTGAATTTTGATTCCTACTGCAGATATTGTCTCTATTGCATGCAGTGTTCTGTTGAGGATTTACTCATTTTACTGTCCGTGACCCTTTCCCCCTACTCCGCCTCAGGACTGGCAGCCCCCGTTTGCCTGCGACGTGCGGAACTTCCGCTTCACTCCACGCGTCCAGAGACTAAACGAGCTGGAGGTAAATCGCTGTGTCTGTTTTTTTCTTCCTTTTTTTCCCCATTAGGTGCACTGTGCACAGATACACAAAAGCCAAATACTTTCTTTTAAAACTGGATTTCTGCCTGGAGCTTTTAATACATGTGCATGACGTCTGTGTGTCAGTAACAAAAGCAACGGCTCCTGTAGCTTGACAACTGGAGCGTTTCGCTAACAATGCGACAACAGTCAGGGTTCAAATCCCACAAAGCGGACATGAATTGTAACCCGTCCTTCTACTGTAAGTTGCATTGGGTAAAATGCACCTCTGAGACTCTCCATAAGCTAAGCAGTTAGAAGATGGCTGGATGGTATCTTGGGCGTCAGGCTTCAGTTTTCTGTGAATTCTGTGGTTTGATAAACTCACTCTTGGTGTGTGCTTGTACTGCACTGGTGATACTGAAGGGCAGCTGTGTATGTGGAGCTCAGCTGACACAAGAGGCTGTGTCCCTGTGCATCCCCAGGCACTGACCCGTGTGAAGCTCAACTTCCTCGACCAGATCGCCAAGTTCTGGGAGCTTCAGGGCTCCCGACTCCGTTTCCCGCACGTGGAGAGGAGGATCCTGGACCTCTATCAGCTCAGTAAGGTAGGCCCCCCGCCCCCCCCCCCCCGGGAATCTCATCCAGACTGTCAATGTGGCATGTCTGACACTTCTATTTGTACATATTTGGGAACCTGGTTCTAATCAGTACTTTGAACTTTCCCTGTTTTATGTTTTACTCTCCTTTACTATTTATATTATGCTTCTTGATTTATGTTCCTCCTTGTTTGTGAAGTATGCACCAATATTGCCAAAACACATCCGTAGTACATGCAGGTGTGTACCTGGCCATTAATGTGAATTCTGCTTCTGACTTCCGTAAATATCCATTGTTTTTGGAAGTCTGCTGGCTTTGGAAGATTCGTTGTGCAGGCGCACAATGACAGTAAAGCTGACTTTGACTTTATTGTCACGTACCAACCTGTTGCAGATCGTGTCTGTGGAGGGCGGCTTTGAGACTGTCTGTAAGGAGAAGCGATGGTCCAAGGTGGCCAACCGCATGGGTTTTCCCCCTGGCAAAGGCACGGGCTCCCTGCTCCGCTCTCATTTTGAGAGGATCCTCTACCCCTACGAGCTCTTCCAGTCTGGTGCCACGCTCACGGTAGGTCTGCGCCTCCACTACCCGCACCCTCGTTCGACACGTGGTCCATCGTTGCTACATGAGGGCTGCTCTTTGTTTGATCTTTTCCCCTTTTTATGTTTTTTCAAAGGAATTCCTCCTTGATCGAATCCATTGTTTGAATTGTGGGGGATCAGGGTCCCCCCAGCCCCATAAGAGAAAACAAATGAGATTTTTTTGCTTTGTCACGTCATTGTCAGATTGCCCACTAGGGGGCGCCCCAGGACCTCTAGCTTAATTTGAACACTGGTTGAATCATTTCAAAACAAGTAGCCCCTAAAAGCTATCGAGATGATTATAGTTACGAGAAGTCATTTGCTAAAAAAATGGTGATGCTGTCAGAATCAAGGCGATGTTTGTCGTTCTGCCATATGTCCCAATAGTGGTGCTCATTAAGGGCTTAACCCAAAGACTGCTTTCTTTGTTAAAGTGCAGGAAGCCTGTTACCTGACTAGGCCACTAGAGACAGTCAGGGCCTATGGGAGTGTCCACACTGTTTTAATGCTGCCAGTCAACGTCTTTCCTGCACAATTGCTCTGATGCATGTAGTGTGGTTGGTACTACAAATTTCCATAGTAATAATATTAATAATCATAGGAGGTTCTAGTTCCTGCGTTTTGGTTGTGCAGTGATGATGATTCCTTGTGCCACCTCAGGGGGTCCACAAGCTGTATGAAGAAGAAGGGGATGGAGAGGAAGTGGACGAGGGAATGGAGAAAGACGAGAGAGCGGAGGAGGTGGAGGAGGTAGAGGAAGAGGAGGAGGACTCTGATGGCCTGTGTGACACGGTGCAGGGCAGGACACGCCCCCTGCCTGAGAGGCGGTCCCGGCGGCTGAAGTCTGCTGAGGTAATCACTGGGGGGCGTGGCCACACATGACATCACGCAGGTATGGGGATCTGGGAAAAGACAAGGACCTGACATGCGACATTTGTCTTTGGCGGTATTCATGCCCTTTTTTGAGCATTCTGAGTTTTGTGACCATATGTCGGATGGTCTTTTTGTTTATGTGAATGCAAATGTTTAGCTGAATTTGAGTGTATACAATAGTGTGCAAAAGTCTTAGGCAAAGGAAATGTTTAAAGCTGTTCATCTGGGAAGTAAATATATATTAGCCCAGGACAAAAATACAATTTAACCTTAGAAGAGAATAATACAAAAAAAAGAATAACACAAGAAAAATTAAGAGGAATTTTTTCGGTTTTCCGAAAACCTGCTGATATTTTGTTGTATGGCTAGAAGCACTTTGGTTTCCTCAAGGGCACCTCAGTCATTCAATTTATTTAAGTTTTACCACCAGTTCACTAATTAGTTAATTAGATAACTAAGGTATTGATTAGTTTATTGGATGGTTACTGCAAATACTGAGGTGACTTCAGGAGGGGTTTTGAAATGTCTAAGCTGACACATTTTTACAGACATAATATCATAGTTTTACACCAGCGTGAAGATCATTCAGACATAGTTTTCATTGACCGCCTAAGACTTTTGCACAGCACTGTGAGAATTTAGGACTGTTGCCCAGTCTGTCGCTTCCCTGAACAGCTTTAGCATTTTACTGTAATATCTTTGCTAGTTTAGATGCATTTTTATTGCAAGTTGTGATTGAGCAAATACGGCTTTCAAATGTTCTGCAAAATGTAGATACTGCCTGACAAGTGTTTTCCCAATTTTTTAAACCACAGCTTTGGTGGTTTTAACCTTGTCAGATTTATTTCCTCTGCATTGCATGGTTGTTTTAGGTATTTTCCACTTTCAGATCCTGTGTTTGACTTTCTTTGGTTGTTCTGATAACTGACTCTCTATGTCTTTTCATTTCCCTTCCTTCAGAGGGAAAACAAGGAGCCGAAAGTTTTGCAGATCTTTGGTGGGAGCCCTAAGATGGTGGGGCTGGAGATCGTACCAGCTGGTACGGCTTTTCTCTCCCTCTCTTTCGCTCTTATTTGCTGCGTGTGTTTGCGATGTAGCAATAAGCAAATAGCTTAGTGTTTTTTTAGGTACTTGAGAGGACTGGCTGTTCTTACGGTGCTGAGCAAGTGATCTTGCTGCACCTTGTCGGTTTGGTGCCAAGTCGCATCGCCCGTCTGACACTTTCGCTTTGCGTTTGAAGATGGTGGCTTCAGGAAGCAGCGTAACCTTAAGGCCCAGGCCTTTGCCATCAAGATGCAGCAGAGGAAAGAGACACTGGAGGTCAACTTTGTGAGTAACCCTCGGGGACAGACCCGACGGGTCGATATTCTTCAGCGTTGTGGGGCAGTGTCCACTTTGTCCAGACACGCAGCACACGGCGTCCCTGTCCTTTACCAGATCGACCTGTACATGTGCCTGGCGTGTGGCCGCGGCGACGAGGAAGACCGTCTCCTGCTGTGCGACGGCTGCGACGACAGCTACCACACCTTCTGCCTCATCCCGCCCCTCCAGGACGTGCCCAAGGGAGACTGGCGTTGCCCCAAGTGTGTGGCAGAGGTACAGTGACAGCGCCCGTTTGGGGGTAGCTAGGAATGCTGGGTACTGACTGAGACTGGGATGATTTCCCCTGAGTATGACGGCCCCCAGTCAGGCAGCAGGCGGGTGGCTGTGCTGTTTATCTAACACTTATCAGAGATGCACAGTATATCAGATAACAAATCAGCATTGGGCCGATGTGTCGATCTTGGCAGATATTGCGTGTCGATATTTAGACTTTAGTGAATATTCAAATTTAGCACCACCAGAGCTAAAGACATAACTACTAAAACAATGGAGATGATTGCATTGGGGCGATCAATCATTTTTCGTAACGGGGGCCGAGGGATTTTGTCAGCTGAATTGCCAGTTAGGATTCTCAAAGTATCGACCCACAAGATGGTTTTATACGACCAGCGATATGTTTTTAGTTAATTATTAAATTTGGCCTGCAGATCGATCTATGGAATAAAAAAAGCAATGTATTGTCATTCCTCTAATGGGCACCAGGAAAGTCGCATGTTCTTGCTTCCTCCTGATTGTAGTGTTCCTCCAGAGTGTTTGACGGTCCTGAGAACCTCATGAGTGTGTCTTGCCTCTTTTTTTTTTTTGCTCCCAGGAGTGCAGCAAACCACGGGAGGCGTTTGGGTTCGAGCAGGCAGTGCGGGAGTACACCCTTCAGAGTTTCGGGGAGATGGCCGACCACTTCAAGTCTGACTACTTCAACATGCCCGTCCACGTACGTGTCTCCACCGAGGACGTCATGGCCGGTGTTGAGGGGCTGGGGACATGCACTGACCCCCCTATCTCTCTCTCTCTCTCTCTCTCTCTCAGATGGTGCCCACCGAGCTGGTGGAGAAGGAGTTCTGGAGGCTGGTGAGCAGCATCGAGGAGGACGTGATCGTGGAGTACGGGGCCGACATCAGCTCCAAGGAGGTGGGCAGTGGCTTCCCCATGAGGGACTCCAAGAGGAGGCTGCTGTCAGACGAGGAGGTGATTATGCGCTGCACAACTCATCCCGATCTGTTAGGATTTCAGCCGGACTTTTGAAGTGGGCTTTACCTTTAAATGTTTTCTGCAGTCCTACGCTGAAATCCTAAGTTCTGCTGACAGTGGGTGGTGGATAATGTTAAGCGCCGGCCCCCGCAGGAGTACGCCAACTCGGGCTGGAACCTGAACAACATGCCGGTTCTGGAGCAGTCGGTCTTGGCACACATCAACGCCGACATCTCCGGCATGAAGGTACCCTGGCTCTACGTGGGCATGTGTTTCTCCTCCTTCTGCTGGCACATCGAGGACCACTGGAGCTACTCCATCAACTTCCTCCACTGGTGAGCCGAGGTCACATTCCAAACAGGGAGGGCATAGTCTCGCGGAGATGAAACTCTCATGGGCACTTATGGGCACAGGCATTTCTCCAAGGTGATCCTGTCTTAACTCTATGAAGTTCAGGCCAGATGTCAAGCAGAGTTCTGCCCTCAGTTTGTGACCCCCAGGCTAGGATCCTTTGATTGACAGTCTTCAGGAATCAGAAACTCTTCATAGTGCAGTTTTCTGGTTTAATGTTGATGCACAAACCACCCCAGATGGGTTGTGTGGGTCGGAGCAGTGCCGTTGTTTACAAGAACGTGCTTTCGGCTTGAAACTCGGCCGGTTGCTATCCAGCGAGGGCATTTGCTGCCAGCATGGGTGAGAGCTGAGTAGTTTTGCTGGAGACTGCAGGTGCCGGTGTGTTTGATCAAGGTTCTGCTGGGTTTGGAGTTTTTAGTTTGGTCGGCGATTTTCAAACTCCCCCTAGGGGTGAGCCGAAGACGTGGTACGGAGTCCCTGCGCACGCTGCCGAGCAGCTGGAGGCGGTGATGAAGAAGCTGGCCCCCGAGCTCTTCGACTCCCAGCCCGACCTGCTGCATCAGCTGGTCACCATCATGAACCCCAATGTCCTCATGGAGCACGGAGTCCCGGTGCGTCCGGCGACGCCACACCGCACTTCCTAAGCCTCTGGTCTCCTTGTTTGCCCACATCGCCGTTACCCATCTCTGTCTGCCCTCAGGTGTTCCGGACCAATCAGTGCGCAGGGGAGTTTGTGGTGACCTTCCCCAGGGCCTACCACAGTGGCTTCAACCAGGGCTACAACTTTGCAGAGGCGGTCAATTTCTGCACTGCGGACTGGGTACTTCTGCCTTTGCGTTGCACGGTTTACACGTGCGGTGTGTCCTGACCTCCACTAAGTGGCGCCCTTCCCCTCCAGTTGCCCATGGGCCGTCAGTGCGTGGCCCACTACCGCCGACTGCAACGCTACTGCGTCTTCTCACACGAGGAGCTGCTGTGCAAGATGGCGGCTGACCCCGAAAGCCTGGACGTGGAGCTGGCCGCCGCTGTCTTCCGGGAGATGGGAGACATGTTGGGGGAGGAAAGTCGGCTCAGGGAGGCGGTACAGCAGATGGTAAGGAAGGTTTTTCCGAATGTTTGTTTGTTGTGAGGCTCAGTGTCATATTTAGGCTGGAGGTGTTTCAGTTGTGCGTGTTTAGTACACCGTGTTCTGTCCTCCCGTGTCCTGACCCCTCTCTCTCTGTAGGGGGTGCTGTCCTCCGAGCAGGAGGTGTTTGAGCTACTCCCAGACGACGAGCGTCAGTGCTACAAGTGCAAGACCACTTGCTTCCTGTCGGCGCTGACGTGCTCCTGCAGCCCTGAGCGACTCGTGTGTCTGCACCACTCTGCTGATCTCTGCGACTGCCCCCTGGCCAGCAAATGCCTCAGGTTGGTGGTGGGGGGGCGCCTCTCAGAAAGCATCCCAAACGGTCATTTCCTGTTACCTGAATGTAACAGGATTCTAACACATTCCAGTCATCTAACCCTTGGTTCAACCCTTCTCTACTGTACCCTACTCTTCACCTTTCTCTACACTACTCTGCCCTACTCTGCGCCCTACTCTGCCTGCTACCCTACTCTGCAAATCACCCTACTCTGCCATCTATCCTAATCTGCTATCTACCCTGCTCTCATCTACACTACCTTACCCTACCCTGCTCTACTCTGATACCCTGCTCTTCCCTTCTCTATTGTACCCTACGCTGCACTCTGCTGTACTCTACCATACTCTGCTCGTTGCATTACCCTACTCTGCTATCTACTTTAGTCTGCTGTCTACACTAATATCTACACTACTCTATCTACCCTACTTTGCCATCTACCCTAATATACTATCTACCCTGCTCTACTCTTTACCCTGTTCTTATCTATACTACCTTACTTTACTCTGCCATACTTTGTGATACCATGCTGTACTCTACCCTGCTGTCCTATTTTGCATGCTACTCTACTCTCTGCTCTCTTCTTCATGGATGTCTCATCCGCCAATTGTCCCCATGGCTGCTGGAGAAGTCGGTTGAATCCCAGTGGTAGACAGGCTGTCGTTTTCTGGCTAAACTTAAAAGAACGCAAAGCAGCATGAGTGAAATCTGCAGTGCTGCTTGCAGGGTCGACACTACTTCCCAGCCACAGCGTGCTGCATAGTAATGGCCAGCGCTCTCTCTTCTTGGCATGCCTCACAGATACCGGTACACCCTGGATGAGTTCCCCTCAATGCTGCACGGAGTCAAGTCACGTGCGCAGTCTTATGACGCCTGGGCCAGGAGGGTCACCGAAGCCTTGGCCGCTGACCAGAAGAACAAGAAAGGTGGGAGTCCCTGGGTGACTCCTGTGAAGGGGTGACTCTGCTGGGGTCCATTGCTCCTTTAATCTCCTTGAAGAGCTGAATGCTTATTGTATTATTCTAGACTGCCTCCTGGGTCTCCACAGGCTGCCTCTCACCCTCCTGTCTTGTTCAGACCTGATAGAGTTGAAGGTGCTCCTGGAAGATGCAGAAGACAGGAAGTACCCGGAGAACAACCTGTTCCGACGCCTCAAGGAGATGGTGAAGGAGGCCGAGATGTGCTCCTCCGTGGCCCAGCTGCTGCTGAGCCGCAAGCAGAAGCACAGGTTAGTGCCTGGGCTTTCGTCTCCGGATCGGTGGTGCCCCCTGCAGGCTGGCGTGGGCGTTGCCTGATTTCTTTCCCCCGGAACCCCGCCAGGCAACGGCCGGAGAGCGGCCGAGCCCGCAGCAAGCTGACGCTGGAGGAGCTGAAGGCCTTCGTGGAGCAGCTCTTCCGGCTGCCATGCATCATCATCCAGGCGCGTCAGGTCAAGGTGAGTGTCACCGCCAGAGCCCTCCAATAGGGCTCAGTAATGCTCATAAAACGACCAATGACATGCAGTGATAGTGCAAAGTGCAGGTGCCGTGGATGTGACAGGGACATGTGCTTGTCGCAAACGCGTCGGGTTGGGGAATGTAGCCGTTATTGGATCTGGTAGCCCTCCTAAAGGATCTGCTTATCCACCCCCATCCCCGGCGGCAGGAGCTGCTGGAGAACGTGGAGGATTTCCACGAGCGAGCGCAGGCGGCCCTGGCGGACGAGACGCCCGACTCCTCCAAGCTGCACGCGCTGCTGGAGCTGGGCGGCGGGCTGGACGTGCAGCTGCCGGAGCTGCCGCGTCTCAAGCAGGAGCTGCAGCAGGCGCGCTGGCTGGACGAGGTGCGGCTGGCGCTGGCTGAGCCCCAGCGCGTCACGCTGGAGGTCATGAAGCGCCTCATAGACTCGGGCGTGGGCCTGGCGCCGCACCCCGCCGTGGAGAAGGCCATGGGGGAGCTGCAGGAGATCCTGACCGTGTCAGAGCGCTGGGAGGACAAGGCGCGCACCTGCCTGCAGGCCAGGTGAGGCGGGTGCTCACTCACACACATACACACAGATTAGCTATCTATATCTTTGTGGGGACTCTCCATTCATTTCTATGGGGGAATACCCTAATCACAAAAAAATCCCAAATTTGGTCCCCACAACATCAAAATAACATTGTAATACATACGTCACACACAAAGTAACACATACGTCACACACAGACACGCACACGCCTCGCCGCCGCTTGACCCCATGTGCGACCACAGGCCGCGGCACAGCATGGGCACGCTGGAGGGCATCGTGACGGAGGCCCGGAGCATCCCTGCCTACCTGCCCAACGTCCTGGCCCTGAGGGATGCGCTGCAGAAGGCCAAAGAATGGACGTCGAAGGTGGAGGCCATCCAGGTAACGGAGAGACGCTCAGATACGCCTCACATACGCTCAGGTTATGGCTGCGGTTCCCCAGTTATAAGACTTTATTGTCCCAGTGGGAAATCCGCCTTGGACGTCACAGTGTTTGCAGTATAAAATCACAACAGCCACACTGCCCCCCAAAGGCACAACACCGTAACTACGCTGACACTGCGAAAAAGGTTTTTGACTGTAGGTAGGAAAATGATAGTGTTCACTTCAAATCCAAGCATAGTTCAACTAAGATATTTTGTCACAAGATAAAACAGCTAAAGTCTCAATTTTAATAAATGTGGTTACGGTATTTTGCATTTGTAGGACAGAACAGCCTGCTCATATTTAAGCCTAGGTGTTGTTAAATAGCGCTGCACAGCGTCACATCGCGATGTAATTGCGATTATATGGCACGGCGCAATAATCACCAGGGCTTTAGATGACGGGTAAACATTTGTGCTGATGCCGGCTCTTTGGTATGTATGGATATTTACTTCTGTTACACCCAGAATTTGGTAAGCAGATTAGTATTGTGCCTAAAATATTAATGATATGCGTATTGTGATGCCATATAAATTCAGTGTATCCGTATGTTCATTAAATGCGGTTAGTGGATCACCCCACATGCTACTGTTTTGGTAAATCATGGAAGTGATGAGCACTGAAGTGGCGGTGAAGAAAGGGAGAGATCAGCAGCCATAACATCATTTGAAAGAGGAGATATTGCGGATAAACAAGGAAAAATAATTTCGGTGGTGTGACGGTACTTTTTGCAGTTTAAAGTCCGACGTCTTTTAAACATAAGGATACGCCGAATTTCTGCAGATTACTAACTTTTGGGCGTCACAATACGGTTCTCATTAATATTTTAGCCGCACTTCTAATCTGCTACCAAATTGTGGTACCAAAAATTTGTCTGGACCTGTGATAAGAACATAAGAACTATACAAACGAGAGGAGGCCATTCGGTCCATCGAGCTCGCTTGGGGAGAACTTAACTAATAGCTCAGAGTTGTTAAAATCTTATCTAGCTCTGATTTAA